TCCATTTAAGAGATTTCATTTTAATGAATTTTTAATGATTTCCCTGCTGGTGACCTGAGGGTCGTAGGAGCTGAGGCAAGTTCATCCAGAGAGAGAACTCCAGGGGAGACGTAGGGAAGCAAGAGTGTGTGAAGGCCTACGAGGGACAAGGTGTCACATGTCCACTCTCTGCCTGCTGCTGATTGTGTGTCTTTACTATTGGTAGGACTGCCTGACAGCCTTCTGTGGGCTAACTTTGGAGACTTGGTCTTATGTTAAATAAGATTTCCAGTGGAAATTCTATTTCAAGATGTTTGTTTGAAAGGCAGAGGTATACAGAGAGAGGAGAGACAGAGAAAGAGAGAGAAGAAAGATCTTCCATCTGCTGGTTCCAGGAACCAGGAGCTTCTTCCAGGTCTCCCATGTGGGTGCAGGGGCCCAAACATTTGGGCCATCTTCCACTGCTTTCCCAGGTGCATTAGCAGGGAGCTGGATCATAAGTGGAGCAGCTGGGACACAAACGGGTGCCCATATGGGATGCCGGCACTGCAGACAGTGGCTTAGCTGGCTACGCCACAGCATGGGCCTCCTATTTCGAGTTTTGAACGACTAGTTCCCATTGGAACTTTTGGAATTCAGTTTGTTCCTCGACTGACAGCTGCCTGCTCTGGCCACCATGTCACAGGCCTCTTGACTGGATATGGGAAACCACTCTGATATAACTCACTGAAGCTGTTTGGAAACTCTTCAGTTTTCACATAGCTTATTTATTAAAATAGAAAAAGAACAATAAATCTATTTTTACTGCAGTCTCTGTTCTCATTTTCAGGTATAAGCTTAGAAAATGGCAGTGTCAATATAGAAAGAAGAAGTAGGGGGATAATGATGATGTATTCTGTGGTTTGTTTTTAATGGAGTATGTGTTAAGAGCTCAGGGTTCCATTGATGTAATGGTTGAATTTGTGTGCTCTTTGTTCAGTTCCTTAACTTTCCTGAGCGTCAGCTTCCTCAGCTGTAAAATGTGGACAGAACTACTTCATTGGGATTTTTATTGGGTTGTTGTTTGGGAAATCTTATTATGGTGCCTGGCCTTAATAAAACAGAGTGTATCATTACTGTTCTAAATAGGAATCTCCCCTCAAATGTTACTCATGGAAGCTAATTTTTTTTTGACAGGCAGAGTGGACAGTGAGAGAGAGACAGAGAGAAAGGTCTTCCTTTGCCATTGGTTCACCCTCCAATGGCCGCCGCGGCCAGCGCGCTGCGGCCGGCACACCACGCTGATCCAAAGCCAGGAGCCAGGTGCTTCTCCTGGTCTCCCTTGGGGTGCAGGGCCCAAGCACTTGGGCCATCCTCCACTGCACTCCCGGGCCACAGCAGAGAGCTGGCCTGGAAGAGGGGCAACCGGGACAGAATCCGGCGCCCCGACCGGGACTAGAACCTGGTGTGCCGGCGCCGCAAGATGGAGGATTAGCCTATTGAGCCACGGCGCTGGCCGGAAGCTAATTTTAATGAGTTCGTTTTTATGAATTCATTAACGCTTGGAGACATGGCGAACACAGAGAGAGATTCTTGGATTCTCGCTGACCCAGCCCAGAAGACTGAAGAACTGAGCAGTGGCCGTTCACTGCAGCTACAGATTTGTGTTCACAGGGATTGGTTTAATGCGTGGATGATGTATTTGACAGAAACTGGGGCAACGTAGAAGGAAGCACATTACAGATGACTCACTCTGAAGACTCGCCCTGGCTTTTTCTGAAAGGTTTTCTCCCTCGTGATTCCACATTCTGGCGTAGAGTGGGGATTCTTGCAGAATTCTGATTAAAGTCTGTCTGTCTAGCCTCTGTCCTTTGGCAAAGCAGAGCTGTTGCTATGACTCTCTGGTACATCACTGTGATGACTACAGATTAAAGGAGGTTCGGGCCAACAATGTGTACTGGGAATTATGGAACCACATGCTTCCGGAAGCAGCTTGCCAAAGAAGGATTTTAAAACAAAGAGTGGCTGAAGTCTGGGGGCAGAATTCCCCTCACCTAGTTCATCAAGAGCACTTTATTAGAAATGGGAAATGGGGAGCGGAACTGCCTCTAATTCAGATTCACAGATTATCCTGCTGTAGCCAGAGTTCTAGCTGAGAGGGGCCGAGTCCTGCCTCGCTGGGCAGACCACACTTCCTTCCTGTGGAGATTGCGAGTTGGAACGCTTTTCCTTTGCTACTAGAAACAGTGTTCAGATGCCAGGGTTCAAGAACGCAGCGTCAAGCCTTCGGAATTCTCTCATTTTATTGTCTCTAAAACCCATGAACCAAACGGATCTGTTGGCCACCTATCTATCTTTCTGTTCATTCCCACGCTGCCTGCTTGAGCTCTCAGAAGCAAAGATTCCAACACTTAGAGACTGTATCTTCTACGTGGGAGACAAAATAGAAACACATTAAACACTGAGGCCAAGTAGAAAATGAGTTTGAAAAGAAAACTTGTTCCTGTGGCCAAATCCAGCTTGTTCATAGGGACAGGCTTTGGGTGCAGAAGTTAATATGCCACTTAGGGGCTGACATTTGGGTACAGTGGGTTGGGCCTCTGCTTGAGATGCCAGCATCCCATATTTGAGCACTGGTTCAAGTCCTGGTTGTTCCACTTCTGATCCAGCTCCCTGCAAGTGCACCTGGAAGAGCAGTATATGATGGCCCAAGTCCTTGTCCCCCTGCCATCCATGGGAGAGTCCTGGACAGAGTTCTGGGCTCCTGGTTTCAGCCTGGCTTAGCTCTGGCCCTTGTGATATTTGGGGAATGAATTGACAGATGGAAGATCCCTCTCTCTTTCTCCCTCCCTCCTTCTCTTTCTCCCTCCCTCCTTCCCTCCCTTCTCTCTGAAAGACTATCCACTATCCATGTGACTGAGTTCAAGTCTCTGCTTCTGATTCTAGTTTCCTGCTAGGCACCTTAGGAGATGATGGCTCAAGTACTTGGGTCCCTGCTACCCACATTGGAGACCTGGATTGAGTTCCAGGCTTGTGGCTTTGGCCTGGCCTTGCCTGGCCTAACCCTGGCTGTTGTGGGGATTTGGGAAGTGAACCAGTGGATAAAAGATCTCTCTCTGCTTTCCAAATAAATGAAAATAAATAAATGAACAAAGCAAATCATCTTGTTCAGCCGGTGGGGATTTCAATCATCCAGCTTATCCACACCTAACAGAATAGGGCCGAAATTTGTCACCAGGCCATGTTTGAAGGCACACATAGTTTGTTGAAGTCATTTCGGATACAGGAAATCCTGTGTTTATTGCCTAGGAAATACTACATAAAATTTTGGATTTTTTCCCCCTTGTAGTGCTCTTTCAAAAACCTGGCAACGGAGTCACTGCCGATAAGGAAAAGTACGTCAGGAAGTGACAGCACAGTGATAGGAGAGCAAACACAACACGCTGACTGCTTTGTTTCCACGCTAGCCCTCAGCTATCGATAGGATTGCTTCCTTCGGGAATGCCAGACCTTGTCTCCAGGGCCAGGGTACACAGGCGAGAAAGACCTGGAGATCCCTGGACTCATCTGTAAAGATACTAATGACAACGGGTAAGGGAGACAACGAGACTCTGGTCTGACTTAACCCAACTAAATCAATTCAGAGCCATGAAATGGGCCCTTGTTAAAATCACCAGGCTGAGAAGGAGCGTCCACGGGGTGCTACAGATGGGGCTGTGGGTAAAACCTGACATGTAGCATGGCAAGGGTGAGTGGGAGTACACCCGGAGGGATAGACACCCTCAGAAGACACTGACAGACACCTGGAAGGTGAGCAGGTGTGTGGCTTCACAGGAGTGCAGCACTGCCCTTGGGTCAGGACGCTGAGTGCCGTGGTCCCACTGGCAAGGCTGCGATCACAGTGGGCAGGTATTTCTCCTGCAGCCTAATTTAGCCGTGGGAAATTCTCCTAGATTACTTGTATTTGCTTTCTTTCATCGAATTTTGTTTTCTAATTTGCCTGTCAACCTTATAGTTCACACTTGATCTTAGCCAAAAGGCCGAGAAGCGATCAGACTTGTAGTTCACTTAAAGTCATTTCTGTTTTTAAGAAGTCTCTGGATACTGTATATTCTATATAGAACATTATGGGCATATTTTTATATGTAGTAATCTTAAGCACATTATAAATTAGAATGGACAGATTTAGTAAATAAAAATATGAGAGCCTCATTAAATTAGAATTTAAGATAAATCTCAGATCAATTTTTGGTGTAATTATGTCTCAAATGTTGGTAGGACTTACTTAGATTTTAAAATCTACTGACTGCTTATTTCAAATTCAAATTTAACTGGTTTCCTTTATTTTATCTGGCAATCTTATAAAATATATTTTGGATATAGTTTTGGTTAACTTAAAAAACCATTTTTATTTGCTAATTTTTACTTTTTCGAAAGGTAGAGTGAGAAAGACACAGACGTAGAAATCGCCCACCTGCTGGTTCAATCCTCACCTGGCTGTGAGAGTCGAGCATTGGCCAAGCTGCAGGCGGGAGCCTGGAACTCCATCCTGGCCCCCCACATGGGCGCAGGCATCCAAGTACTGAGCGCCATTGCTGCCTGGGGTGGGGGTGGGCGTACATTAGCAAGAAGCTGGTATCGGAGGCAGAGCTGGGACCTGAACCCAGAGACTCGAGTGTGGCATCCTAAGGGCTAGACCAAATGTTGGCTGATTGTTAGCTGAGTTGTTTTTTGAGGATTTTCCTCAGTTGATTTTGATATTTTTTGTTTCAACCTTTCTTATCAAACACTGTACTTTTTGTGTAAATGTGGCCAGTTTAGGACTTGTCATAGAGGATGAGGAGTCACCTGGGACAGTTTTGCCACCAAGGGGCTCTTGGCAATGTCTGGAGGCAGGTTTGGTTGCCACGGTTGAGGGAGGCAGTGTTGACTGAGCTGGCATCTGTGTGCAGAGGCCAAGGATGCTGTTTAACCGCCTGCAACCTTGAAAGCCTCAAACAAATGATTGCGCAGCTCAAAATATAAGAGTTACTGTCATAAGCTTTTTTTTTTTAAAGATTTATTTATTTGAAACTCAGAGTTACACAGAGAGAGGAGTGGCAGAGAGAGAGAGAGAGAGAGAGAGAGGTCTTCCATCTGATGGTCCACTCCCCAATTGGCCGCAATGACCGGAGCTGGAGCTGCACCGATCCGAAGCCAGGAGCTTCCTCTGGGTCTCCCACGTGGGTGCAGAGGCCCAAGCACTTGGGCCATCTTCTACTGCTTTCCTAGGCCACAGCAGAGAGCTGGATCGGAAGAGGAGCAGCTGGATCTCAAACCGGTGCCCATATGGATGCCGGTACTTCAGGCCATGGCATTAGCCCACTGCCCCACAGCGCTGGCCCCTATCATACACTCTTGAAAAGAAGAGTTTATCTTTTCAAATATATCTTTGTTTAAAATGTATGTATTAAATCAACCTCATCAATTGCATTATTCACACCCTCTTTATTGTTTTCATATTTGATCTCTCAAAGAAAGAGAATGAGATCTTGAGGTCATTCGTTTAGTTTAACACAGTTTATCGAGATTCCTCCTGTAGGTCTGACCTTATTCCAAGTCAGTAAACAAAACAGGCAAACATTTCTGACTTCATGGAGCTTATACGCTAATGGGCGGAGAAGAAACAGGAAACTTAATAAACAAATTATTTGCAAAATATATGATAAATATTATGCAAAAAAAGACAAAGGACAAACCAGAGCACGGGGTGGGGACTGGATGGACACGGTTGTAGTTAAACAGGGTGGTGAGAAGCTCGTTACTGAGAAGTGCCGTGAGAACAAGGAACTGGAGAAGATGACAGGGGTGTTTTGGCACACACATAAAAACCCTAAATCCATGCATGTGAGAAACTTTCAAAAAGTTTATAAAAATGTGTATTATGAAAAAAATTATGCATGGATTTCAATTTTTTGCATGAAAATAAACATATTTTAATTCTATTTTCCCATGAACTTTGTGAGTAGAGTAGGGAGTGAGGGGGAGAGACAGAGAGAGAGAGAGATCTTCCATCCATTGGTTCACTCCCCAGATGGCTGTGACAGCCACAGCCAGGCCAGGCTGAAGCCAGGAGCCAGGCACTCCATCCAGGTCCTCCATGTCCGTGCGGGGACCCAAGTACTTGGACCATCTTCTGCTGCTTTCCTAGGTGCATTAGCAGGGAGCTGGATCAGAAGTGGAACAGCTGGGACTTGAACCGACACCATATGGGATGCCTATGGAACGCCAGCATCATGGGCCATAGCTCTGCCCACTGTGCCACGATACTGGCCCTAAGCTCCAGCTCCTTTTCCTTCTCTCAGGGGAGAGGCCTGGCAGCATATTTCAAATCCCCTAGGGTATGGCATTTAGAGAAGTTATTTATAAAGGGTTGGGTACTAATGAGAATAATTCTTATCTGAGTAGTTGCTTAGTGGTTGATTAAATATTTAGACAAAAGGGTCACTTAACGTACACTGGTTGCCATAGTTTGGTGTTCATATTTCTGTTGCCAGCTGAGCCTCTTCCTCTTGCTCTCCCCTTTTCCTCTGCTCCACTTCTCACCTCCTTGCAGTATTCACACTGTCTCTTGTCTCTCTCCCACTCCCTGTCCACCTTGGAACACTTCCCCTATAAATAAAAGAAATAAAAGAATCCAAAGGCAGCCTGGGGGCTCACTTGGCATGCATCATTTATCCCATTCATCTCAGGCACAAGAGAGTACTTGAGAGAGCTTGTGGGGAAATGGGGTCTGCATGTCCACACTCACAGCACGTAAGTTCATCAGGGGAGGATCTGGGCAGGCTCTTCTTACAGTAGAATGCCAGGACCGATCGGTGCAATGGAGGGCACTGGAGTTGGACAGTCATCATTGGCGACCACTGAAGTTGCGATGGCTGTAGCTGAGAATCATCAGTGGGTACCAAATACAGAGGACATTTAATTGAGGAGGACACTCAGAGAGAGAGAGAGAGAGAGAGAGAGAGAGAGAGAGAGAGGCTGCAATTATACAGAGGGGAAATTAGACAACATCTCAACCAAATGATCAACATTTATATCCCCTGTGGGGGGTGGAGGACTGTTGTATATTTGCAGATGGAATACCCTAATGTTGCCTGTGTTCCAGCTGAGAATGCATAACCATAGTCTAATAAAAAGAAACATCAAAACAAAATAAAGAAAATCACAGGTTTTTTTTTTTTTTTAAAGGTTTTTTATTTATTTGAGAGGTAGAGTTATAGACAGTGAGAGGGAGAGACACAGAGAGAGAGATCTTCTATCTGCTGGTTCACTCCTCAAATGGCCACAATGGCTGGAGCTGAGCTGGTCTGAAGCCAGAGGCCAGGAGCTTCTTCCAGGTCTCCTACGTGGGTGCAGGGCCCCAAGGACCTGGGCCATCTACTACTGCTTTCCCAGGGAATAGCAGAGAGCTGGATCGGAAGAGGAGCAGCCGGAACTAGAATGGACGCCTATGTGGGATGCTGGCGCTGCAGTGGGAGGGTTAACCTACTGCGCCGCAGTGCCGACCCGGAGAACTACAGTTGTAGAGAAAAGGTGGTGAGGGGACTTGTATTTCTCAGCTTGCAGTCCCCCTTCCATCTTCAAAGACAGCTCCTCCTCTGAGTCCCCTGGCTCCTGACGAGGCACTGAGCCTGCCAGGCCCATTAACCTTCCTGCGCAGAGCCTTAACATGGTCATACCTGCAAAGTTCCTGAGCCACGGAAGGGGAGACGTTCACAGGTTCTGGGCTTAGGGCGTGGCAACCTGGGGGCTGGAAGGGGCTTTGCTCTGCCTGCTACCAAAAGAAAGGCGAGGGAATACCGGGAGGTAAAAGAACTCAAAGTATATGACAACTAAATGCAGTACCTGATTTTAGTGTGATTCTTTTTGGGGGGTTTGCTATAAAGGCTAATTTATATCAACTGACAAAATTGGAATGTGGATGGTTATGATCTGATGAGAAGTAGGAATAGGAATGTGTGAGGTTGATGAACACACTGGAAGGTTGCAGAAGGGAATATCCCCACTCTCAGGAAATGCACACTGAACCATTGAGGAGTTTAGGGCTGTGAGACCATGCGACTTACCTGCAGATGGTTCAAAAATTAGGTGCACACATACAAAGTAGAAAGAGTTAGGAGAGCAAATGACAAAGTACATGGAATAAAATTTAACAGTAAGTGAACCTGGGGCAAGGAGGTATTTCTTGTGCTTGTTTTATATTCGCAGCTTTTTGTAAGCTTGAAATTACATTTTAAAAAGGTAAAAAAAAAATCAGGTATGCAAACTGCCACTTAGTTGTAAACATGCCCGATGTGACAGGTGGTGGCTCTGTCTTGGGGCATCCACTCTAGAGGCGCATTCGCTCCTGGGAACGGGGGAACTCAGTGTCCTGTGAGGCTCCCTGTTCAGCTGCTGGTTGGTCTCCGGAGTCTGAAACTTCTGTATGGGCTAGGAAAAATGAAATCAACTTGTTGCTGACTTCCCCTCCTAAGTTGCAGCCCTCCTTGTCTTCTGGTGAAATCCATAGTAAGTTTTCTCGTCAAATATTGACAAGACATCTTGTTCCTGGATGCTCTGGAGTCAGTCTGTAAACCTCCTCACTGGGATGATTGGCCTTTGTCGGTGTTGTCTTTAAAATGGGGCTGGGAGAGCAGTTTGTGGGAACACAGCTCTCCAGCTGGGTCCTGATTGGTTCCTTCCTGCTCTTCCAGCCACCACTGGGAGCTGCCTGGGAACGAGGTACACTGATGTTATGATGTAATGGATGTATGTAGTGTTGGCGCTGTCCTGAGGGTCACTGTGACCAGTGATGTAATAAAAGGAAATGGGCTATGTTGCAGCTGGGATGTCATGCGCCCTGAGCAATTGCCCTTCCACCACTTCTCTTCCCAAACAGCCATGGAAGTCAGAGCCCTTTGTTTAACTGTGGTTAGCACGTTGGCTGCGGTGAGTTCCTGGCACCGTGGGGGCAGTGTTGTGGAGCAGTGGGTTAAGCCAACCTCTTGTGACACAGGCATCCCACATCGGAGTGCAGGTCAGAGTCTCACCTTGGCTGCTCCATTTCTGATCCGGCTCCCTGCTAATTATGCACCTGGGAAAGCAGCAGAATTGACCCAAGTACTTGGACCTCTGCCACCCCTGTGGGAGACCTGGATGGAGTTCCTGGCTCCTGGCTTCAGCCTGGTCCAGACCTGGTTGTTGTGCCTTTTTGGGGGAGTAAATCAGTAGATGGAAGATCTTCCTCTCTCTCCTCTCTCTCTGTCACTTTGCCTTCAGAATAAATGAATGAATCTTTTGAAACAGAATTCCCAGAACCTAGGGACTGGGAGACTCAGAGGCAGGGCTACAGCCTCGTGCAGTGAGAAATTCCAGAACTGCTCTGTCTAGCATCCAACATGGGAAGAGACTGACTTAGGGTTGCCTCCCGTGTCTGACAGCAACAGAGGCAATGCAAATTTGGGTTCCTGGGTCCTAGAGTATTGCTTAGAGATTGGTGCAAGGGAACAAAACAGGCAGAGGGAAATTTGGGAGTGGGTCTTCCGTAGGGTGTGCTTCCATGGCTGTGGGTAGTTCCAGGGTTGGTTGGCATTGTCCTTGCCACAGTCTAGTGAGGGAGAGTCAATGCCAGTTGCCTGTCCTCTCTCTAGACTGTGACAGAGGGGCCCCTCCCCACTGTGTCAGTTCCCTAGAAGTGAGGCAGGAGAGATGGGGCCTGTGTGACCCTGCTGAGAGCACAGATGTTAGAAGGTCAGGCTTCAGTGTGAACTCCCAGCCGTACAACGTCATCTCACTACGCAGGGTCACATAGCTCACATTCAAGGCACTAGGAGAGTGCAAGAGGCATTTTTAAGAGGATTCCTAATAGGGAGGCCTTCTGAGTACTGATGAAGCTGGGTTGAGGGTAGGAAGAGGGAGGGAGGGAGAGAAGGGAGGCTTTTCCAGTAAGCTTAAACCATACATTTTAAAGGCTTATATCCCTAATTGCCTTATAAGAGGCACTAGCTCACTAGGGGCTAGGATTTCCTTTCCTTTTCACCCTCTGGCTTCTAAAGTAAAAAGTTAAGGCATAAGGCACTGAGGTCCTCTTAGTCTAAGGATTAATCAGGCGGTTTTAGGCACAGGCTGAAGTTCTGAACTCTGGAAGCTTGAATGGAAGTAAAAAAAAAAGGCATCTCACTGGGGCTGGTTTTATTGTAGTTGTTGCTTGTTTTTTAGGTATATCCAGGTGTAAATAAATCAAGGGAGGTCAAAAGAGCATGACAGTGATCAGAGGCAGCTCAGCTGAGGGTTTGCGGGAAGTATGCGCAAGCGAGGAGATGATTTAGTCTGATTTGGTGAGGAAGTAACTTGGCAATGAATATAGGGGCTTTTCCTTTCTTTTCTTAAAGTACATTTGATATTTTAGAGTCTATTTAGGTTCAGAAAAAAATAGAATGGAAGGTATAGAGATTTTTCCATATTCTGATGGTTAAGTATTATGAGTTTTTTATTTTATTTTTTTAAGATTTATCTGAGAAGCAGAGTGGAGAGATGGGGAGGGAGGGAGGGAGGAAAAGAGAGAGAGAGAGAGAGAGAGAGAGAGAGAGAGAGAGAGAGAGAGA